ACCAGGTCTCCCAGCGCAGTCCCCTCCTCGGCTCCTTGGCCCCCGTTTCCTTCTCGCCTCATGAAATTTTCATGCTTGTGCTTTATTAATGAGCTCCCCAGAAACCCCGCGCTTTCAAGCATCGGCTCTATTAAAATGCATCCACGTCCCTGCAGGTCTCGGGCAGGGCAGGAGTGATGCTCCGGAGGATTAGACAATAAGCCGATACTTTGCACAGATCCCACGCTTGTGCCGGAGAGCCGCCGCGCTGGCTGTTAACACAGGGCTCCGGGCCGGGGCGGCCGCCAGCACACCCGGGTGCAGAGAGTGCTCAGTGCATCCCCCCAAAACCAGGAGCTGGTCTGGGCAAGGAGAAAAGAGAGCCATGTGTCCCCCAGCCTCTTCAAGCATCTTTTACCCCTTCTGCTCCTCTGACATCAGTGTCATGAGCTCTCTCCATCCTCAGCCTTCAGCTGGGGGGACCCTGTAGCATCACCCGGACCGGGGGGTTCCTGCTGTGAAATGGCAATTTCTGCCCTGTCCCGTCCTTGGGGAGGGTGCGTAGCCCCGAAGGACTTGTCTCCGCCTCCTTTCTCCCTGGCTTTATTCCGAACAGGGCTCCATGAGGAGCAGGGAGAAGGATCCCCCCCCAGCGCCGGTTCCAGCTCCGACCGTCCGTCGGCTCAAAGATCTCTCTTAGCTCAGGCGACCTTCTTGCCTCTTGCATTATTTTTCAAGGCAGATCTACTTCTAACTCCTATATCATAAGAAGCATTCACTTTACGTATGTCTGACCGAACTCCCCCGTCCTCAGTAGATCTCCACGGGGGTGTTCATCACTGGGATGACATTTTTTTGGCATTTCGAGGGCTCTCTCCGAGCAGCTTTACCCCCCCGGCTCCGCTCTCGTGGCATCACAGCCCAGCCGGGGGTGCTGGCCCCAGGTGAAGGCGGCCGCGGGGACCCCGCAGTCGTCACGGCACGGGTCAGGACTGGTGGCACCGAGCCCCCGGCAGCTGCAAACATCCCCCAAGGGCAGTGGGGTGTGGGTTGGGTTTGCGTGGGATGGCACCGGGGAAGCTTCCAGCTTCGCCTTTTAATTGGGACCCGTTAACGCAGGCAGTGCCGTGCTGGTGGCTCCCGGCTCGGAGGAGCCGAGTTGGATAAGACCGTGGGAAAATGAGACAAAGTCGGGTCCCGTGCTGCAAACGACACCCCAAAACGCTCCCGCCTGCAGGGCAGCCCCCCGTGGGCAGCTGGGGGAGGCAGAGGGAGGTGGTGGTGGGGATGCTCGCCCAGGCAGCTGCTTGCCATTTGCTAATTAGCAGGGCCCTACAAATATGTCTGTTAGGAAACCCTCCTCAATGCTGTCGTTTGTCTTTGCCAGCGGAAGCCAGGAGAACAACGGAGGAATCCACGGACTTGGCTGGGCTGCGGCGGGGAGGAAATTAGGGACGAGATGGCTGGTGCAGTCAGGTGGCT